ATTTATTTAAATAAATAAAAGAAGGGCATTGAATTGTGCTTTTTTCATTCTCTACAAGACTAATCAAAAAACTACAGTTTAATTTGCAAGCAGGATATTTTTTAATGTTTATATATCCATATTTATCCCCTTTAGCCATAACAGATTTAGAACCATTTTTATCAGCACTAATAATTTAAGTTCCATCTATTTTCTAAGACCGGGCTCTTTACATTTCCATCCATAAATAGATGGGAATGATTACTATGATCCGAATTATATCTTATCAATTATTTTTAATCTAACTCAACACACCATAATTATTAATTATCAAAAGTGACTAATATTCTTTTGGTGATAGACTAATCAACAGTACAATTACCAGGTCTACCTGAAATAGATATATTAAAAGATTTTATAAATAAATTATTATTTATTGATAATTAAATTAAACGTCTGATTAACTATAATAGTTTTTTAAATTTCTATTTGATACTATAAAAAAGAATTCAAAATATAGAGATGATTAAATTTAAATTAAATATTCATCTAAAATTCTGATCCTTTAATTTCACTATATCTATCTTTGAAATCCTATAAGTTGTATTAATTTTTAAGGTTTCATTAATTAAACAGTACCCTTGCCACATCCACCAACCAATTCACTAATTTTCAATTCCAAAATCTAAACTCCTAAAATAGAAATTTATCTATATACAAAGCTGTAATTTTAATAAAATTTAATAGAATATCCATCTAATTGGATAAATTTAATGCTCTAATCTTTTTAAGATTGTGATCCCACCTTTTGTTAACCATCTTTACCTCCAGTCAGAATCATAATATTCTTATTAAAAGTATGAATTATAGTAATAGGTCGCTCTGGAATGGCCTTATTAGTTCTAAAAACTCTTCATAAAGAGTACATATCTTTTTTAAATGATCCTACTATTGTTGCACTTTATAATAATCCAATAGTTAGAATAGCTTAATAAGAACAATATTTAGAATCCCACATTCCATTTACTATTCTTAATACATTTTATCACAATTTATTTATTAGTTAATCATAATTAAGAATAATTTATCTTTTAAATTATATTCTATTTACAATATCAGATTTTTCAAATTCAAATATCTCAACTAATGGACCTTTGCCATTAGCCAATAAAGATTCAGATTTTATTCTATTCATTCTTATTTAAGATCCTTTCTCAACAACAACACATTAATCTTCATCCATTCTAACTGCTGCCAATTTTCTTCCTTCATTTGATATACATAAATTACTTATTTCAACTGATAAATGCTTCTCAAAATACTGCTCTCAATTCCATAGATCTTGATTCACATACAAATATTGATGGTTTTAATCCCAACTATCCACTTGCTACTAAATTTACCCATAATTCTAAATTTATTACATAGTTATAAAAATTCAATTTATTAATTAAATAATAAATTTGGGATTTGATAGTTTATGGTTATACTTCTCCAATAATAATTATCTGATTACTAGATTTAACTTATTGATTAATTCATTTCTATAATTAACATATATTTAATTAATAGTTTTAATTATTTATGCTAAATAAATTGATTGAATTGCTGGCTGCCATCTAGAAGATTGCTAATCTTGATTTATCCATATTCTAGCATCTTTAAACAAATATTGGAAAATCAAAATTAAATATTCTAAAGGCCAAAAATTAAATCTTTAAATTTATATAAAAGGAATTAAAAGTTAAAATTAAAGATTGAAAGATTTTTTATTGATTAATAGATTTTGTTTAATATTTCTCTTTGTGTATTTTTATAATATCTAAAATTAAGAATTTTTGCCTTTTAATTTTAATGAATTCCAATGTCAAATTACTTAATTGTTTTTATTTTAATTGGCTGTTCTGTTTAATTCTTCAGATATTCCCTTCTTTTAGTAATTAATTGTAAAATATTGTAAATATATTGGAGTAATTGCTTTGGAGTAATCATACTAAATATTTAATATTAATAGCTAGTCTTATATTTTTATAATTCTGAATATAATTTATAAAAATGAAAATAATTTTTTGAAATATATTAAAATCTAATATAATTAAATATTTGATGATCAAATGGAAAAGTTTCAAATTTCTATTTAAATTAGAATAATAGACAATAGTCATCCTCTTTTATTTTTGTATAATTTTAGAATATGATATGGGAGAATATTAATTACAATAGAGTTGTTGTAATAGGTAGAAATCATTTTTAATTAAGATTATTATAGAAAACTAAATGGTTATTTATTGGTAAAATATTTATGGTACTTCTTTTGCTTTCAATTATAAATTAAGGGACTATCAAGGTATTTTTGAATTAATAAAAGTAGTTTTAGAAATAGATTAAGTTATTCCTACTTTGAAAGTTCAAACTTAGATTGAATTAAAATAAGATCATAAAAAGAGTTGTTTCAATATTAGCTATTTATCCAATATTATATATTTGTGATAATAACAGATATTAAAATGTTATAACCTTTCTTCTTTATTACTCTGACAGATTTTATTAGGTTTGAATAAATTATGCATTCTATTAATGAAAAAATTATTAAAATAATGGAGAAAATTTGATTTTGAATTATACATCTTAATTGTACATTCTGTAAATGATAAGTGATTATGAAATACTATTAAAAAGCCATTGTGATAGATCTTATTGAAGTTGCTAAGAATACTGCTTTTAAAGGTGACAAAAATTATAAATCAAGATATCTATTGATTTCACCAATAAGATTAAGATTGGAAAAGGGTGGCAAACATGTTAGATAGTTAATTTATCAATTAAAGAACAAAATATGTTTCTTATTTGAAATAATATTAAATTTGATGTAATAATTAATTAATTATAAAATTTCTAAAAAAG